AGAGTAGAGGTCTTTAATTACGCGCCTGTCTTTTGGCTTCAGGCATCACTGGCCCCACTTCACAATTAAGACCAGTAGTTAGTGTGCAGCCAATAGACACAGACAGGAGCAGCCGAAGAAAAGGAAGTTTCACATCAACAACAAAGAAAAATGTAAGCCTCTTTCTCCAGTAATGTAGATGGGAGCGCTTTAATGTGTTTTAACTGGGCCATGCATTTAAATTGGCATCTTCACATGATTTTTTTTTTCTCCCAGTCGAAGCAGAGGTGCCTAGTATGTTCATCTCTGATACATTTATGTATAGAATTATCAAAAAGATAGTTTTAATTCAATATACATTTTAACTTATTATTATTATTTGTTACATTATTTTTAACTACACTCTCCATCTACAGCAAACTATTGATTTTAAAACCTCTTTATTTATTTTATATATTTGAATGATTGGTAACAGTTTAGTAGTTAAAGACATATTAAGTAAATAAGATGTTTGCTAGTATAAACGTATAAATGCTCTTGTCTGAGTGGCCTAGTATCACAAATATTTAGAACTAATTTTTCCCCATTTACTACCACTAACTGCTAGTATGACCACTTTATTAGAAACTGGTCCTTACTTAAGTGTAGTCAGCTTACAACTATTACTACTTAACCTGCATATTTGGAAGTTTACAACTACTACTATATATTTGCTTTAGTTTAGTAATTACTTCTGGTTGAGTGTTCAGTGAATCAACAATACTTTGCCTCTCCCCTCCCCATGGGTGTTTTGATACATGATCAGATGGTGCCATAGGTCTAATGTTAGTTTTCCCCAAATGCCCGTTAAGCCCCTCCCTTCCTCATATGTGGATAGGACTGTACTCCAGTGCCGTAATGGCCACTGCAATGGTAATGTGTTTGGACAGATGGGCGAGGCGAGTGCTGATGCGGTGCTTAACTACGCATTTTACAGCTAAACTATTAAAGAGTTGCGCTGTTTACACACCAGCATTTGAATACCTGTCTTCAGGCCAGTTTAATTATCCCGGCCCTTCTGTTATTCCCGCCGCTTTGTTGTCTCTGAGCTTTGCACCAGGCATGAGAGATTTGTTTGCAGCTTCATTAAGATATGGTTCTGGTAGCGGTTTGCAGGGTGCGGAAAAATTTGTTTGTGCTCAAGTATCTTTGCTCTATTCTCCCCTGCAATGCACCCCCATACGTATACAGATAATGCGTGCATCCATTTTCTTATAAAGTCATTTAAAGTCAGAAAATTAAAGAAATGCCCCGTGATGCCTGCACTTTGAAATCTCTCAGGGCTCTAGGCAAAAGGGGCGGAGACACAGAGAACCCCGCGATTCATTGGCAGACCTTTGATTGGTTTATGAGCACTTATAGGGGAAAGGGTTTGCATTATAATGTGTTTTATGGATTCCTTCATATGTTCCTCTTCAATGGTATGTTCAAATGGAGCATTAATCAAAGAAAGTGCAGGGTGAGGGCATGCAGCCAGCCCAGCCAGAGTTGTGGGCCGGCTGTAGAAGCAGTGGTTTTTAATTATCTGGACGACGTACAGGATGCCGTTTTTGATTGTTTTAATGAGGCAGCTGGCCTATTGTCTCCCCTTAATTCCTCCATTGTTTTTAGAATATGTCATAGTTCTTTATTCTTTTATCAGGTGCTCTGCAGGAGGATTTAGACAATAGCCTTCATTCCAACTGCATTGGCCACTGCACAAAGGCGGCTCACTGCAGACAGTTACCCGGCAAACAAGTGCAAATCACCAGCACTCTTCGCTCCTCCAGTTTTCTGACTCACGTTTTGGCCTCTGGCTCTGACATTTGACCCTCTCTTGACAAAGATGTCACCAGGGTCAAGAACTCATCATAAAGTAAATATAGGTAAAACTGCAGAATGTAAAGTGATTCTCTATGATTTCAGCTGCACCAGCCAGAATATCCCCCAATATTACACCAAACAAAAATATTGTTCTAAGAGACTCATCACTCAATCAGCATTCATCCCTCACCTTTATAGAGCTTAACAGTGACAGCCTGCTCCAGTTCTGGAAGTAAATTTTCCATTAATTTTTCCCATAGACTTTTAAATGTGGTAACTAATATCCATAATGCGGTTGTTTTAAGTGTTTTAAGTACAAAGTTTCAGAAACAGATTTGAAATAAAACTGTAGGTCTTGTGGTCATTAGTTGCCACATAGCTGATTATCTCCGAGCAAGCTTTTGACTTTTTTTTTTTTTTTTGGACTGTCTATGAGAAAGAGTGCTTGGTCACTGTTGAGCTCCATAATCACATGTTCTGAATTAAAATCTATGTTGAATTCTCATTTTGGATACATTTGTACCTATTTGTACCACCATCTTTCTTTCTTCTTTTTTTATGTATTCAGATATCATAAAGGAACAAATTAAATGGCTAGAAGAAATCATCACCTTTTTGCAATTTCCGGTTTGCTGTCAATCTCATTTGGCGTGTTTATACGAAAAATACAATCAACAAGTCCCTATGTCACTCTAATTTTACAGTCCTGTATTCATTGTTTAGAAGAGATGTGCTTTATTTTATGCATGAAACATTGTGAGCCCGTGTGCATACCGGTGTCATCACAGAGGTACTCATGAGGACAATATAATGATGACAGTTTAGTTACTGCAACATCACCCCACTCTTGGCTGGGTAACTTTTCCAGAATGCTGCCTCAGTGTTTGGTGCCGCTATGAGAAAGTGGGACAAACTCAATCCTCAAACTCTCTTCTGTCTTCCTCTCACTCACACACACAACAGATGGATGTGTAGCAGTCTTGGCTGAAGGGTTGCTGTGGCAATGTATACCGAATGCTTTCAAAATGCAGTAGAACATTTTCATACAGCTACATAATCTGCTTTATTTCAGCTGAGTAGAGCATTCAACTCCTTTGATTTAGATTGATCCAACAACATTGAAGTCTATCTTAGCATCTTCTCCAGTTCATAATTCTCTTTGTAAGCCGAGTGCTTCTGAACTAAGCGCCACTTCACACAGTAGAGGAGAGAAACTTTTTTTTGTGGCTACGATATATTCCCTGCCATTGTCGGGTGGCAGTTTGTATCTACCTTGATGGTAACTTGGGCAGACAGTGGAGAGGAGTTTTGTTATTTTAATTAGAAGATAAAAATTCAAAGGGGCTCTCCAGGCAGTGTGTGGTATGACAGAATCAGAAAGATGAAGTGCGGCAGGCCTGGAGTGTGCGTAACGTCACAGCAGATTGTACGACAGATAGGAGCTGCTCTTTAAAGTGGCAATGACGTGTGCGCTCTCAGCCGTGCACACACAAATGCCATTCAGAATGATACCACATTTTAAAGGGCCCATATTATGCTATTTTTCTTATATGTTATAATGTTGTTTCCTCATCACAAACATACTGTAGCTATAGTTGTGTGTTGTTTGATTCACACAATATTATATCCATACACCTTTACTAAAATAATATGGATGATTTCGGTTCTGGAATTACCTTTCTCTACTGAAATAAATATAAAAGGTAACTGTTAACTTAAACTATCACTCCATGACACAAGGTGGAACAGAACATTTTGAGTTTTTGGGATGTAGCCAGACTAATAATAAAGTATTCAAACATGTGCGAATGAAACAAAACACAACTCCAGGTATGTTTTTGAGGAGATAACAACATTCTAAATTTTAGGACCTTTAAAAGCATTTGTTTCATATGACATCTTTGTACCTTAAAACCATCCCTCTGCAGCTTGTAGGTTTCACTTCATTTAGACTAAAACATTGTCTTAAGTCTAAGTGCTAGTCTCTCAGCCAAACTAATTGGATTAATGATCTACTATCCTACTGCACCCCTATTGTTTTTATAGTAGTTTATAGTTTTGTGTATGTATTGAGTGTGGAGAAATGGGTGGGGTGTGGGAGGGTTTTTGTTTTGTTTTTGTCAATTTTTTATTTTTGTTTGTGCTTAATTTCAAAATAGAAAAAATGCTGGGTTTAGCGGGTCATAAAATAGCCCATCAGTGGAGGAACTTTTGTTCTGGCACTGAACTATGATTTGGCACCTAGCAGCAACTTTAACCTTTTAAACAGCAGCTTTTTTCTTTTTTAATTGGGCACTGAAATGCAGTTTAAGAATATGCAGAAAAAAAGCTTGTAGTTAAAGAGAATGGTGGCCTATGTTATTTGGTGTGTGAGCTGAGCTGGTTAAATCCTGGTGAGCTGAGGTTGTGTGTAAACAGGAGTAATCAGGGCTGCACACGTGTGGCTCTGTCTCCTCTCGTCCTCAGCCTCTGTAGCTCTCCTCAGAAGTCTCTTTGTCTCGCAGCAGCCAGGGCGCACATCACATGTCCCCTCTCAGCCTGACACTCCGTCGGTATGTTTGCACATCTTTGAAAGCTAACAGCGTGCTTTAATTAATTGTCCAGCTTTCCTCAGAAACAATGTCCTAATTCTGCCATTTAGTGGGAGCGTATCATAGTTTGTTGTTATCTCCCCAGCCAGATTTCTGTAAATAGTCATATTAAAAACTTTAATCTCTTCAATGGAAAATGAAGTGCAGCTGAAAAGCCTGTCATGTGCAGAGATAAATATTATCTAAAGCTAAAACCTTCACTCTCTGCCTCTCCCCTCCCTCCTCACAGCCCTCCCCTCTCTCACTTAATGAATATGTTCAGAAGATTTCAGAGCAACGCTTAATCCCAAAACATAACAATCTAATGGTACAGAAGACCTGTATACCGCTGACAGTGGTACGGCTTATCGAATGTGCTTTCAATGTCAATTGCAAATTATGGTAAAATGTGGTCTACTTTAGGACTTTAAGAGTATGTATTGTACTTAAATAACATTTACATATGTTTTTTAACTTCTTCTCAGTTTTTCTTTACCCTTTAACACTTTTCAGAACAGTAACATATGCAACATATAACAACGTAAACTATCAGTACCCAAACACCCGTCTACCATAACTTACATTCTTACTTCTCTGTGTTTTGCCCAGGTGGTCAGCTGTGGTGCACTACCACCAAGAACATGATGGAGGGTGAGGAGCTGGTGGCGTTTGCAGTGGATTTTGACTCTCGGCTGCAGGCTGTGAACCACATGTCTCTGAGCGAGGGCATGTACCCAGCGCGCCTCTTGGACAGTATCCAGCTCCTGCCACAGCAGGCTGCCATGGCCTCCATCCTACCCACTGCCATCGTCAACAGTGAGTGTCCACGCAGCAGCACGCACACTGCTGGAACCAGATGAGCTTTTGTTTAGGGACACACAATCGCTCTTCTGTCTTTCCTCACACACACAGCCTGCACTCAGTCACCTGCTTAACAAGAAGCACCGTCTCCGCCGGGCCTAGATTAACCTAGATGAGTCCCTGTGCAGAAGATAAGAGCTATCGACCTTCAAGTTTTGGGTTCACACAAACAGATTGGAGCTCGAACTAACATGTTAATTGCAAAATACAGGCTTCATGCAAATAGTGCGTGTTTACTTAGCAAAGGCTATCTGGGTTCAGCTCAACAGGGAGGCTTCTGTAAGCAGATGGTCCAGTGTTCTTGTTTGCCCTTGAGAAAGGGCACCAACCCAGTGGTAGCAACCAAGATATGCAACGGCTGAGGATTTGGAGGGAAAGCTTTTTAAGGCTTTGAGTCAGAACTAAAGTACGAAGTGTTGGTGTATGTGTCTATGTGTGCAGTCTTTATCTCTACATGTTAGAATATTAAAGTATGGGATAGATTCTGATATCACAACCTCTTTGTCCTCTCTGTCTCCTCAGAGGACATCTTCCCCTGTAAAGCCTGTGGAATCTGGTTTCGGAGTGAGAGGAACTTACAGGCCCATCTCATGTACTACTGCAGCGGGCGGCAGAGGGAGCCAGAGACAGTGGTGGAGGACAATGACACAGGGCCACACCAGACTCCCAGCACCTGTCCTTTTCCTCAGTGCAACAAGAGCTTCTCTGGAGCCCGTGCCCTGGAAATACACTTGAGCACTGCACACAGTGGTGAGTGAACGAGAAAATAACCACACAAATCATATTCATGCATGTGGTAAAATGCATTATGAAGGCACATTCATATTTTAATGAATATACTATACATGATACATCCTTTATGTGTCTGTCAGAAAATATTGCTGACATGTAGTAGTCAGGCACAGAATAATGTATAGAAGCAAATACTTTTGGCATAATGCATGAGCATGTGATTCTTCCACAGTTCACTATACAGCAGAAGTGGGAGGCAAGATTCTGAGCATTTCTCTCTTTTATCTTCTTCGCAGGTGTCAAAATGGAAGAGAGCCTCCCTCCTGGCACCAGCTTGAAATGCACAATCTGTAACTACACGGCAGATTCTCTTATTACATTCCAGCATCACATCATGTCTCACCTGTCACAGGCGGCCTTCAGATGCAATCACTGCCATATCAGCTTCCAGAGCCACAGGGAACTCTTACAGCATCAGGACTTACACGGGCATGGCAGCAAACTTCACAGAGAGGGCGATGGCACAGAGCTGTCCCCCAGGGGGCCGGAGGAGAGCCTGCAGCAGGCCCGGGCTGATCTGAACAGGAAGGACGCTCTGCTGGGGAGTCCCAAAGGGGGCCTCACCAAGGAGCCCAGCACAGACGGGGAGGCTGACAAAGCTGAGAAGAAGCCCATGCTCTCTGCTCAGAAGGGAGAGGCCCACCCAGGCAGCAAGGCCAGTTTTTCTTACACTCGGATCAAATCTGAGCCCTCCAGCCCCCGACTGGCCTCCTCCCCTGTGCAGCATAACATGCCTACATTTCCCATGGGTCCATTCTTGTCTCAGTTTGCTTTCTCCCAAGACATTTCAGTAGTCCCACAGGCTTCTGAAATTCTGGCAAAAATGTCAGAGCTAGTTCACCGGAGGCTGCGCCACGGAGGGAACAGTTACCCCCCTGTCATCTATAGCCCTCTCATGCCCAAAGGGGCCACCTGTTTCGAATGCAATATCACTTTCAGTAACCTGGACAACTATTTGGTTCACAAAAAGCACTACTGTAACAGCCGCTGGCAGCACATGACAAAGTCTCCGGACTTTTCTGCCTTGTCCGATAAGATCCCTGAGGCAGTGAGCCCCAACAGTGGACACAGTTCTGTTAGCATGTTAGCGGGCTGCCACCCAACAGAAACTGACAGCCATCTGATGCAGTCAGCCTGTCTAAACTCCAATGTGCTGGACATGATCAATGCAGGGAAAGGAGCAGATAAGGATCTAGCAGGACAGGTGAAGAAGGTCTCCACTCCGACAGGGACAGAAGACAGGCTCAATGGCAAACCATTGGAGGGAAAAAGCCCCAGTACGGGTTTAGTAGATAGCGACAATGACCCAAACAAAACAACTTGTGAAGCCTGCAATATCACTTTCAGTCGCCACGAGACCTTCATGGTCCATAAGCAGTACTATTGTGCAACACGTCATGACCCCCCCATGAAACGCATGTCTGCTAACAAGGTTCCATCCATGCAGAGGACCATGAGGACCCGCAAACGCCGGAAAATGTACGAGATGTGTCTCCCTGACCAGGAGCACTCAAGACCTCCTATTGGACAACCAGGTTTCCTGGGTGTTCCTCCAATGAACCCTTGTACATCCCAGGAAGCTGTAGACAACATCACTGATCGGTTCCACCCGCGCTGTGACCTGTTCCCCAGCATGGTCCCCAAACACCTGGAGGCCTCTCTGACTGTCACGAAGCCTATTCTTCCCACCAAATGCAGTACAACAGAGCAGCAGGAAATTGATGCTCCAATTGATCTGAGCAAAAAGTGTTCACCAGGTTCTGACAAAACATGCATCTCCCCAAAAAGACTCTTGGATTATCATGAATGTGCGGTTTGCAAGATAAGTTTTAATAAAGTGGAGAACTACCTGGCACACAAACAAAACTTCTGTCCTGCTGGAGCTCAGCCACAACCGCCACAGCCACAAGCACACAATGAGGCTGGCAGTCTCGACACAACTATATTTACAGATGTGAAGAGTGAAGCCAATAACAATCCCGATGACACATTTGATAAGAGCCCGGGCAAATGTGAGAAGAATGCCAATGGAAAGGTGCTGGTGCAGAATGGAAACATGTTCCCCCCTCACCTGGGGCCTGTCCCAGGACTCAAGCCTTTTGCTGAACCCCAGCTCATCTCTTCAAAGGATGAGAACAAGAATGTGTTTCTGCCTCACTGCCTTTATCCTGGGGCAATAAAAAAGGTTAAAGGTCCAGAGCAAATATCCCCTTATTTTGGAATAAAGCCCACTGATTATGGGTCTGCAGGGGGAGCAGGGCAGGGGGAGCTCATGGAACAGGAGCAGAGTGTGAATGGAGGCAGTACTACTGTTGGAGGGGACACAGGAACAACTCCCCAGCAACCTGCCTCCAACGGCTGCCCCCACCCTGGCAAAGAGCCTCTTCCTCTGATGCCCAAAAATCGCAGCATGGTCATTGTCAACGGGGGACACAAGCCAGAGGACTGTTCAGACACGGCTCCTCCACAGCAGGAGAACCAGCCTCAGCCTGAGGGCCAGCCCCCCAGTGCCTCTCCCACGTGGGCCAGTGAGAACCAGAGCGACACCAACGAGAACATGTCCCCCTCCGCCAAGTCCCCGAGTGAGGAGGCAGTGCCCACCGTTAATAAAGGCGTGAACGGAGCTGGGAGTGGAAAGTACTGCCGCCTCTGTGACATCCAGTTCAACAATCTGTCAAACTTTATAACTCATAAGAAGTTTTACTGTTCTTCACATGCGGCAGAGCATGTAAAATAAGTGCAGAAGAACACAAACTGTTACCCTCCTTTGCCCTAATATTCCCTTGAACTTTGACTCCTTTTTCCTCTTTGTTTTGGTACACTGTTGTGTCTGAAATAGTGCATCATGCAGTGCTATCTGCTGCTTGTGGACAATCAAGAGAAGCTTCTTCTTTCATTGTTTTAAGACTTAAACATGCAAAACCATTGGTTAAAAAAGAAAGAAAAATAAATCAAGAATACTATTGGTGCCACTTTCACATTAATTTATTTTACAATCAGTATTAATAGGAGTAGTGATCTTAATTTAAATTCAAAATGAAATTTATATCAGAGTTGTTTGTAATGTTATTGTATAGTCATTCTTGTGTAGCACACATATTGTTTACACTGTATTGTAGGCTCAATGAAACAATAGACAATACAAAATGAGATGCATTTTAGACACAAAATAGCTACTGAGGCACTTGTGTATTCTTTTTTGCTGAACCACTTTCTGTATATGCCCAAAATGTCACTAGCAGATGTTACTAATGACATGTTACTGACATGTTACAGCCTTCAGTATCAGTCTGAGGGCGATCAGGCACTACCCTGCACATGACCTGGGGCATATACACTTGGCTTTGCATACATCTGTGGCTGTTTGTCCCTGTCTTTTTTCTTCAACTCAGATGTGGATGTTTTCATGAGGATGGCAGCATTCTTGTATAGTACTTGTATTTCTGTTTGATGATACACTTTGGTCTCCCTTTTTGAATTTTGCTCTCAATGCAATACTTTGTAAATGAGGGAACATTACTGAAAGCAGTATTATGATGGGGACTGTGCATATAATTATTTGTAACCCCAAAGGGAAAAAAGAATTTAAGTTTATTGCTGGTGGACGGGTGGGAGGTCAGTGGGGATACTGATGTAAAATGATCATTCCAATGTCCTGACTGTGGGAGAAAATGTTTCTTAAAACGTTGTTGCTATGCATGTATATGGATGGAATTAAATTCCAGATCTGTTGGAAATTTTTATTTTGATGTGGTGTCATAATTAAACTTAAATCCTCAGGATAAACACATCTCAGTGGTCTTTTTTAATTTGTATTATTCATCAGATCTGATGTGCATTAATCTATAGGTCTGAGATCAGAGACATGTGGCATTTGTAAAGAACAACAGAGTATTGATTATATTTCCTTGTGGACTCAGGCTAGGGATAAATGCTTAACTGAGGGATGGAGCTTTTTAAAATTTCCAACAATCTATGAAAGCCTATTTAACGTTTTGTAAATATTATGATACTGTTAGCTTATTTTACAACTTGTGAATAAAGAACAAACAACAATTATTGCATAGTGGGCTCACTGGGCTAATTTTCATATGTACCTCTTAACTGCATAAATATAATAACTCGTAAAAAAAAAAAAACAAGAACAATCAAGAAAATTTTTTTAATCATGATTTTTAAAAACAACAATGTCTGTATCTGCTGTAACACTGGAGCGTGAGACAATGTTGTTACAGCAGATATTTATCAGATATTATATTGACGTATTGGCAGAGTCTATGCACTGAAGTGGTTGGCTTGTCTCTGGTTGACTAGCTTCCTCAGGTGTTGGCTGATGGCAGATGGCTCCTTGTAGATCATTCGTCGGTCAGCTCCTTTTATGTGAATGTGATTGGCTGATGGGTATGAAACCTCCAGAAACTTCTTTTGAAGCTTAGCCACCATCTGGTGCAGAAAAGAGTTGGTTATAGACCATTATTACCACATATTCAGACAGTGAATGTCTACTGAACCATAGTAGGCTCCATTGTGAAAAGGCTCACCTGGTTGAGCTGTTCTGGCATTTCTTGGTCAAAGTGATCTCCGGTGATCACGGTCACAGATGTCCTACTGGAGAGGGGTTTAAACTTTGAAATGTCTCTAGGGAAGAAATGCAAAAAAAAAAAATAATCAAAATGATAAGAATTGATATTTACTAAAAGCTAACATAAAAATTGAACTTTTCCTTACTGTACTTGGGCTGCACTTTCATTCAGAAAGTAATGCTCATCCACAGCACTGCTCTGATGGGCAGGATTACACAACAGGTATTTCTAAGAAGAAGAAAAATAGATTCACTCATTAAAACAAGAAACCCTGTCATGAACACACCACATCAACATGAGATCTCACTGTATACCTGTATGTGCATGGACTCTGACTCTATCTTGGTTCACACTGTAAAATATGCTAACTCATATGTATGGAGAGGAACCAATGAACCCATTTTTGACTTTTCTCAATTAGATACATGTTGAAAGAACATACCACTAAGAACACGACTTTATGCTCTGTTGACTTTTGGTGTGTTTTTTCCAGTATGTACATTATTCTAACCTTCAGAATCCTGTCTACCCAAACCTTGTTTTGTCCTTAGAGATTTCAAGCACAATGATGTCCTCATCTCCTTGGCAACTGTAATACTTGAAAAGCTAGGACTGACATCACTTGTGCCATCATATGTGGGTGGCTGGCAGCAGCAGACAAGGCTGTCCCTGTTTTACTCTATACTGGATCATATGAACAGATGTTGATGAGTGAATGTATGGCGCCAGTATAGAAAAATATTCTGAGGTACATTGTGCTCTTCCTCACAGTGATGAGTTAAAGATTTGCTAAATTCATGGATACTCAAAATGCTGGCTCTATGTAATTCACACTCACATTAGTGGCACTCGTAAAACCCGTAAAATAAACTGAAATAAACTGAAGGATACAATGGTACCACAACACTTTTTGAGTTAGTACTTACCAAGTCTGTAAGGCAGAAAAAAATAAATACATTTTCATAGTTTTGGTAAACATTTGTGTCATTTCACAATAGCTGTTACGACTTGGTAATAAAATAAAACTAAAATTGAAAAGAACTTGATAACCTCCAAATAAACAATCCCACAGTCCCCTGAGGTGGCAACCAGATTGCACAAGATAACTTAATTTCTTAGGGGACTTTTCAAAGTAAATAGACAAATGAAAAAAATAATTTAAGTCCACCTGAAGTGTCAGCTACATGTCATATAATATATATGAATAAGAGTGGACCAAATTGAGAGTGTAAAGAAGAATATAAACATTCTTGTATAAAACTTGACTCAAATACATGTTTAAAAAGCTTGTATCTTATATTCTTACAGCTTATTTGACTTGAACTCCACAACCTGTCAAAAAACTGCATGTACAATACAGTGTCATTGTCAGTGTAAAAGCTTAAATTTTCATTTATTATAAAAAGGAAGTCATGTCATATCATGCCAAATTCAGCCTCTTACAAAATGAAAACAAACCATCATCCTCCCCATCTCCAGTCATTACTCTTGCACTAGCACCATCCTGTGGCCAGATTAGAACTATGAGACAAATGCATCTAAAACACTTCATACAAAATAGTTGTTGTTTTTTTTTGTCAGTACAGCACACAATTTAAAAAGTTCAAATATTCAAATGGGATTTAAAAATTCCACATAATACCAGAAAACACTGCTGAGTGTTCCTGTTATGTCATTTAATATTGGGATTTCTGCACACATGGATGAATAATGCTGTTATTTTAAAACAGTCTGTGTAAACCTTCATGCGTCAGGTAGGTCAATCAAATAAATCAAATTTAATTCTTACAAATAGATACACCACTTTTGTTTCAAAAACCAAAAAAGTTGAGAAAAAAAGGTGTAATAGCAATAGTAGTAATAGTATTAGTGGTACTAATGAGCGTTATTTTAGCAATGAAATCAGAAATATTGGTAGTATACATAATAGCAGCGATAGAAGTTAGAAACACTAGCAGTAGTGCTGAAACAAAGTAAATGTATGTACAAAGTAAATATGTGCCTCTGGGTGGGGTGCTTATGTGTCTCACCTGCCGCTGAATGACCTCCTCGGACACATTCTGGCCTCTCACAGTTGGTTCCAAAGCCCCCAGGATGATCAACATGCGGCTCAGGCCCGTGGCTGCGCAGAACTGCTTGGCTTGGAGTGATGGCAGCAGCTTCCCATACCTCAATAAACACAAACAGACGAAATAACAAAACTCATTAAACTTTGGCAACGGGCACTTCAGTCTTGTAGCCATATGGCAATTAGATTAGCCATATACCCTTGATAATACTGGCATAATGGAAGACGTGACATTCAAGTTATTTAGTGATGCAATATTAGTGAAAATAAAGAAGTTGGGCCAAAACTACCAGTGCTTTTAATTTTCTATTTAGCCTCTTCCAAATGACTTTATAGCTCTATAACTATCACAGTTGTCACATTTTCCAGTTTTTGTCCCTGAAGACTGCCACCTGCTAGTGCTGGAAAGAAAGTCAGTGACAGTTTGTGTATAGAAAAACATTGCCATAATGCCATAAGTGTGTCAAGACATTAAGACTCGTCACTCCATGTGCAAATTAATACAGTGAGTTTCAGTAAAGTTAAATGTTATGACCATGTGCATCACCATTTGTGGATATTATGTTTTTGCTTTAACCACTTTCCCATACAAAATGTTATTGCATTGTCTAACACATTTCTATTCAAGCAACCTTGCTAGCACTTTCAGTTCCAATAGTTTGTTACATGGGCCTTAAAAGAATATGAACAGACTTCATTCATAGTGAGTCTTAGTAACCACTTAATCTAACTGTAGCTCAAAGTAATTGAAAATAAGTAAAAGTAATAGTTTATCTTAATAAACTCTATTTCTTCTCTACGACTTAAAGGTCATATATTATGCAAAATTGACTTTTGTGAGCTTTAAGCCATTTTAAAATGTTGTTACCTCATCAAAAACATATCCACTGTGTTGTGTTTTATTTCATTCATACATGTTTCAGTAATCCTTTATTATTAGTCTGTCTAAATCTCCAAAGCTCAAATTGCTCTGCTCCACCTTGTGATGTCATGTAGTGGTCATTTTCAAGTTAACAGCTGCCTTTTAATTTAGGACTTAAATTATCCAAATTATTCTAGTGTAGGTGTATGGAGATGGAAAACACTTCCTGTATTACCAAAAGATATTAAGGTGGACCAGAGTGAACCAGAGTGTTTTCTGTTTGAGAGATGAACTCGGCCTAAATATGCAGGGTTTGTGTGTTAAACATGTGTAAATGAAACAAAACACAACTCCAGGTATGTTTTTGATGTGGAAACAACAGATCAGAAAATAGTGTAAAATGGGCCCTTTAAGTGTTCTTGTTTTTTTAAGATAGTGTATTATAAAGTGGTACCACGTTAAATATTACTGCATACAGAAGCTGCAGTTTGAGAGATCCTTCATACACATAATTCTTGCTGCCAAATGTATAATTTTATGCCCCATACAGCCTTACCACTATGAAATTATTCCAGCTAGAACCATGAAAGCTGCTATACTAGGAATATTTGGTAATGTCTTTTTTGACACAAAATCTTAAAGTTTCTCTCTTGGAAACATTTGCCTAGGGAATGAGAAATGCTCTTTTTTGGCAGATGACAGAAGAAGAGCAGTGGGATTTTGTAACTCAGGAGGCCCAATCGGTCTCGGCTCACTGGTGCTCTGAATTGCCTGGTCTCAGCCTGTGGAGCCCAATCAATAGTGCACTATGCCTGCTGCTGCCATGACGCTGCAGCGCTGTCTTCCCAACATGAGTTAGATCTGCGACAGACAGAGACTCCTGCCCTATGCTGATCTAAACCACTCAAAAAACATGTGCACTGTTCATTATCACTAGGTTTGGTGTAAGGGCAGAAATGCTTCTTGGTAAAACTTTTTACACTCCAGAGGTAAGGTATGCAATTCCACAGGTGTTAATATGCTTAATGGTCAGGGTCAGTTTTATTTATATATAACTGCTTCATATGTGGGACAAATTAAATTGAAAAAAATGCAAAAGAAAATACACAAAAGAATGCAGATAATGTTAAGTATTTATTAAAAAAAAGTTAAAAATGCAACACAACAAGTCAGAACAAATGTATGTTTCAGGTGCATGTCTGACATTCAGGGTTAAGTTCCAAATTTTGGGAGAGGTCTTCAAGATCTGTGCACAATAAAATAACTATTTACACCTCC